AGCTCTTTTAAACATGAAAAAATGACGGTGCCTGAGAGAGCTTAATATGCTGCAATTCAAGAAAACATGTGCAATTACAAAAACAAAACAAAAAAAAACGCCAGCAAATTAAGAAAAGATCTTCATCCACTTGACAGCACAAGTGCTGCAAATCCTCACAAAGCCAATATGTATTAAAAATGTGCTGCATTTTCCCACAACCCAAACAGATCAATAAAACGCATGCATCTTCTCACAACACAAACTAATTAACAGAATTCGCTGCATTTTCTCACATAAAAAACTATTTATGAAAACACTATGCATTTTTTCACAACACAAACTAATTAATAAAACGGTTCTGTCACATTTTAGGGTCCCTTTGAAACATTTCCATTGTGTCCCGATCTATTAGAAAGTGTTGAGAGAAAATGCAAGGCGTTTTCAAAATTGTTTTTGTTTTAATAAAAATTGTTCGAAAATGTGTTTTAATAAATTGTTTGCGTTGTGAGGATTTGCAGCATGTGTGCTGTCAAACATATGAAGATCTTTTCTTAATTTGCAGGTAATTTTAGTAATTGCACGCCTTTTCTTAAATTGCAGCACGCTAAGCTCTCTCAACCACCGTAAAAAAAAAAATGCCTCAAAAACAATTCTCATGTTGTTAAAAACAACATGAATCTTTCTTTTATTATTCTGTGAAACAGAAAGTAGATGGGACTCAAATGGCATCTTTTATTCCATGGACAAAAACACCTACATGTTTTGTTTTCCATAAAAAGTCAGAGAGACTTGAAACATGAGGGTGAGTAAACGATGATGAGACAGAAGTTTCATTTTTTATTGACCTTTTTTCTTTCTTTCTCAGGAGAAACATCTGAGAATCTGATGAATTCAGAAAAAGTCTGCATTTGTTTTCTTTTCAAACAGAAGAATAAACGGATTTATTAAAAGTTTTTTTTGTTGTTCTGAAAAGCATATGAGCACAAAGGAGCTGTTTATAGACGAGCATAACCACGGACTCTTTCATTCACTGTGTATAATTACGGGTGTGTGAACTAAAACAGTGATCAGTAGTAGTCAAGAAAGACGCTCCATCTTTAGCCCGTCTGCACCACCGCAACCTCTTAAACACACTCTCTCCCAGCATGCTCTGAGACACTTCTAATCAAAAAAGAAACAATTACAAACTACAATGTTGTGTTTACCCATGAGTGACTGCTGGTCACACACATTAACTCTGCTAGGGTAGTCTCAGCACAGTGCAAAGAAGCCAATGTTTTTGGTAGAGGCATATCAGAACATGTTCATGAAATACTAAGAAAAAAACGCTATAAACTGAAAATGGCAAAATGTAACATACGGAAATCCCCAAATGCATCCTATATTGGATCACAGCTACAAACCATAATAATACTACCAGGGAAAATTACACCGACCATGGCATTTAGAATGATTGGTTGAGGAGAAAGAGGAACAAGTGCTTAAAACTCATGAGGTTTCAATGAAAATTCGAATACTATGAAATGTGACGTCATGTTCTGCATATACTCAGTAAGGGTACAAAACAGTGTACAGTTTAGTGTGCACAAACTGATATTGTGATATTTTGGTTTTCTGCAATAAATATTGTGATTTGGAATACAGTCTCATGAAATAGATTAAAGATCACTATTTGATGGTTTTTTATGGTGTCTAACAGTATTCAGGCACAGAAATTGAAAAGTAACAATGACAAAAACTGCTTTTTTTTACCTTGCTGTGTCTCATTTCTAGTTTAAATATTTAAAAAAATAGATCAAGTAAAAATATTGTTTTGTTTTAAACTTTTTCTTTTCAAGTTTCTCCTAAAATAAACAAAACTATCTGTCAGTGTGGCAAGAAAAAATATCTTGTTTTTGCTTTAAAATATAGATATTTGGACTTTTAAAGAAGACAAAAGTTCTAAATAACTAAAAAAAAATTTCTGCATAAATTGTATAAATTCTATATAAATACAGTAAATAAATACAATTCTGTAACTCCTGTTCAGCAATAATTCAGACTCAACATTGCATATAATGCGATGTGACTATTTGCGAATGCGCACAATCCCAAATTGATGCTGAAATGATATATCGTGTAGCCCTGTTGTGCACTTTGACTTTTAAGAGGCTTAAGTCTCTTTATGTAATCTTGTACAATTTTTTTTTTGTTGTTTTGCTTTTTAAAATAAATAAATAAATAAAATAAACACTCCCACATACACAACATTGTTGGGTCACAAGCAGATTGAACAAAACAAACAAACAAAAAATAATTTTACAGAAGATTATAGAAGTGTATTGACTATATGTTGCAATGCAGACTTGTACTCTTTTCTGGGATTGTCTGTGGGAGAAATTATTAAAAATAACAAACATAAAAATTGTCAAATTATTTGCTCTACAAACAAGTTTGATTAGGAATAGTCATAGAAATAAATATAATATAGTATAATAAGAAAATACAAATTTGAAACCTCAAGCTGCATAACAAGATGCTTTTTATGCCTTAAAATAAAGGGAAGTGAATGAGACCGAAAGTCCACATTCAATAGGGTTCCAATGGTTTGAACTCGTAAAAAAGGTCAATATGAATTAGCCACAAATTTGCCAAAACATTAAATAGTTACAAATTGTTGCACGAGTCCAAATTGTGCAGAAATTTCATTCGCTCTCCTCATGTTATCCCAGTCTGACTTCTTGTAAGATATTTTCAAGGATGTTTTAACCTTTAAGTCCATGCAATTATCATTCAAACATTGTTTAAGCATTTGTGACATTGGTAAATAAAAAGATAAACAAAAAAAGCTAGAAACATTCATAGGAGTTCATTTAAAATCCTCATTCTTTTGTATTTTTCCCAGCAAAACGTCCAGAGTTCTTCACATAGGAATCCATCTTTCACAGACAACTTAGCAAGTCAGAAAAGGTCGAGTTTTCTCTATTTTAAGTTGTTGTTCACACACTGACAATAAGAAACAACTACAGCTATATAATTCTTGCATATACACTCCCAGACTATCTCTAAGGAAAACAAAAAGGAATAGGATAAAAGACACTCAAATGTGATGTTTCACTGAACTGATAAGGCAGGATAATGCCTGGAAATGATATCCAAAATGATACACCCTAAAAACCCCTGCAATTTCACTGTCTGCTTTTTATCAAGCTGTTCACTGCAGTACCTTTCCCAAAAGAGAACTGCTGACACTCTGCTAACTCAGCAGTGCTTTACACATTCTCACACACATACACATAACAGAGCAGATGCACCATATGCACACACACACACACACACACAAACGCACAAATTAAACACACAGCCTCAACCGTCTGTTCACACTGTGCATCAGGGTGAACTCATTCATTTCAGATCATGAAAGGACATCACAGCACGGTATGATTTCATCTTTTAAATAAACCGCAGGGAATTAAAAAAAAAACAAAACAAAAGCGAATGCCACATCATTCACTGTATTCATTCGTTCATTTTCTTTTCGGATTAGTCCCTTTACTAACCTGGGGTCACCCCAGCAGAATGAACTGCTAACTTATCCAGCATATATTTTACACTACGGATGCCCTTCCAGCTGCAACCCATTACTGGGAAACGTGCACAGTATTATAAACTGAATTAAACAGAATTTACATTTTTTAGTATATCTGAAAAAAACTTAAATATATAACAGATGATTTTGGCATTAAAAAATAAATTAATAAATAAATGCTAGAAAAAAAAACCTAACCCTAACTGAATTAACTAAAAGTGAATCACACGACTTCATCTTAGAATCTCTATGGAGGGGTTTGTCAGAGTCCCCTTTCCTCTTCATATTCAACTTATCAATCAAGACAACAGAAAAAAAAAAAAACAATGACCTCTGCTGGGAACTCCCCCCTCATCCTCCCTAAAGCCTCTGTGCGCGTGTATCAGCATGCTTCATCTAGATTAAACATACTGGAAGTTCCTATAACAGCAAAGTCAAACAAAACAAACTCTTCAGTAAAACAAACCCTCCCTCTGAGAAGTCTATACATGCATCAACTGTGCTTCTGTTCACTTTCATTTTTCTTCTTTCGGTTTTGATTTTTTATAATTTCAGTAAGGATATGCCTCTTTTTTATCGACTGATAGATTTTACTTTTGCTTCCAAACATTCATCTTTGCCATCTACCGATTTATCTACTCATCCATCCATTCATCCATCTATCTATCAGTCGCTTTTTCTATCCTTATATCTACAGTACCAAATTAATTATCCATCAATCCATCCTTCTACAGGTCCAACTATTTATCGATCCCTCCATCCATCCATCCATCAAACTAATTGCCAAGTACATCCATAGCCTACATGTACAACCATTCTTTCATCCCTTCTGTCAGTCTGTCTATCTGTCATGCATCCATACATCTATTAAGCTGCTGATTTCAATCCATATCTACCAAACTGTCCACCAATTTATCCATCCCTCTACAGTTGCACTATCTATCCATCTATACCAAACTACTTCTCAATCAGTCCATCCCTCTCCAGATTCAACTATTTATCCATACATCCATCTATCTATCCAACCATTTACCAAGTGCATCCATAGCCTACATCCATTTGTTCGTCCATTCATCCATATATACATCTTTTGAACTGTTCATTAATGCACTGAGTTATCAGTCCATTTATCCCAATTTATATCAATATCTACCAAACTGTCAATCAATACATCCCTCTAAAGGTCTATCTATCTATCTATCTATCTATCTATCTATCTATCTATCTATCTATCTATCTATCTATCTATCTATCTATCTATCTATCGTCATTTGCCAGTTTACCTTTAGTATGCACAATTCATCCATTCTTCTGTCTATTTGTCCATTATCATGCATTCATCCCTTCATCTGTTGCATTGATCAGTGCACTAACCTGTCCATCCACCAACATCATTCATTCATCAATAAATCATTCCTCCATCAGATGAGCACAGACAGCGGTCACTTACTCTGGCATTTGAGCGCAGCGCTGCTGATCTGGCGGCTGCAGGCGTCGCACCAGTCCTGACTCAGCGGTGTGGAGGTGAAGCTGTGGCCCTCTCCCTTCTCAGCCTTCACCCTCGGGTCTCTCTGGTTGAAGATGGACCATGCCTCCCTCCTGAGAGGCTCATTTCGCATCTTTACCACTCCTGACTTCCCTCGCGTCAGTTTGTCGATCTGCAGTCCCTCCAGCTCGTCTGGCGGCGGGCAGATGAAGTTACATCGCGGCGAGGTATTGTGAACTTCTTGCGGTGATGAAGACGCGTGACTCTTCCCCGAGCTCCTCCGGCTCCCGGCGCTGTGCCTGCGGAATATTCCGTTATTATTGTTGGCGTTTTCTCTGTCCATGTCTGCGGGCGATCCGTCCATGCCACTACGTGGCCAGCCTGAGCTACAGTCTCGGTTGTGAGATGCTGAAGAAGGCTCGTGATTGAATAACATGAGCGATGCTGAGACTGCGGCTCTCGCGCTGTCCACATCACTCGCTCTGCTTCGCTTTATTTTCTCCAGCGACCATTTACGCGCGAATTTCTTTCTGTCACCCGACTTGAGTTTGTGAAGGAGTTGCTGATCCGGGTCGCGTAGGTGTTGAGCGAGATGCTGTCCTAAAGTGACGGACGCCATGTCTTTTGGATATAGTTGAATGTGTGCTAAATGCAAACTATTTTGAAGCGCCAGTGGCGAGCGTGTGACGCACAGTGAAGCAGACGCGCGCTTTAAATGTCACTAGGCGAGCGGACGTGCGCGAGCCTGCCCCTCACAACGAGCACTTCTGTTATTTCCCTCTTGCCACAGAAGAAATCTCTAAGCGAGCCAACAAATTTCACTCAAAGAATGATATATTAAACAAAATAGAAAAACTGAAATAGTATTTTATTTAAAAATAAAAGTAAACAACGTCGACAAGTCATTTAAAAGTGTTTGAAGCGTTTTCAAAATTCATTTTATGTATTTATTTCACCTTAAATAGGCCTACATTTCAAAACATTATTTGTTTTAAATATATGTATATATATATATATATATATATATATATATATATATATACACACACACACACACGATTTTTAACACGTTTCTAAACACAACTCATTTCTAATAACTAATTTATTTTATCTTTGCCATAATGACAGTAAATAATATTTTCCTGCATATTTTTAAGACACTTCTATAAAGCTTAAAGTGACATTTAAAGCCTTACCTAGTTTAATTAGGTTAACTAGCCAGGTTAGGGTAATTATGGAAGTTATTACATAACGATGGTTTGTTCTTTAGACTATCGAAAAAAATAGCTTAAAGCGGCTGATAATTTTTACCTTAAAATGTTTATTAAAACTGGTTTTATTCTAGCCAAAAGAAAACAAATAAGACTTTCTCCAGAAGAAAAAAAAAAAAAATATATATATATATATATATATATATATATATATATATATATATATATATATATATATATATATATATATATAAATAAATAAAAAAATAAAATCTATCTATCTGTCTGTCTTCATACACACATATACATAAATACAATGACTAAACATCTCTCTCACACACACACACACAGTTTATTAGTATTTTTTAATTCAAAAATCTCAAATACACACACACACACACATACACAAAATAAAATCTAAGATACAAGTTTACAAACTGCTAAAAAGGAAAGTCAATAAAATTTCCACGTCAAGTCAAATATACATAAAATTTGACAGTGAACCACAGCGTGGTCTCTTTAAGGTCATTACAGTTCCCCATAGTGTGAGGGATTCCCCAAAACTCAAACCCTGTGATGTGACATCAGAACCCACCGCATACATCTTTCACTTTCCACATCATGGTAGTGAGTCTGTTTATACCTGTCAGTACTTGTAATACGGTGATCCCTCATGAAGTCTTTTACTGTTCACATTTTTTTGGATCCCAGCTGAGCACTGTTGAAAAAAAAAACTTCCTTTAGGACCATACGTTGTGTGATCAAAACACACAACCTGCATTATTGCTGTTACTGTATCTCTCTGAAACAAAATCAATAGCATGGGGCAGATTGAACACCCCTGTCTTTATTCCATGCCTGTGCAATAATAATGCCAATAATACCAACTGAATGCACAGTGTCATCAATATATTTAGGTCTTAAGATTACTCGAGAAGACTAGTTGCAGATCTGTATTTCTTTCATCTTGGCTGATGAAATCAATACTAGTAGATTGTATAAAGATAAAATGCAGCAATTACATTAACATTTAATCTAAAAAGATATAACTGATATAAAAATCAACTCAAGCTCAATTTTAAATCAGTCTTTTCTGAAGTGTTGGTTTGAGAATTAGGCAGGTTTTCTTTCTTAGTTGAGTTAGTTTAGACATTCAGTACTGTATGTGAACACTGCAATCACACTTGAGTCCACAACAAAACAATCACTCGCCTAAACAAGGTGTCCCAGCGTGAACAAAAACAAAGCGTGAGGCTGTTTGGTTGTGTTGACCAGTTAATACAGAGTTATCGGTTATCAGTATCTGCCCAAACTTCCATATCTGGACATCCCTACTACAGATTAGATAGAGTCATATCAAAATCCCTTTCAAGGAAAGTCTGTTCACTCAACAGCCATTTTCTAAATGAATGGGGAAATCCTGAAATATCAAAAAACACTTGCTGAACCTGCTATTTAATAACACACGTCAAACCAGCAACCACATGTGAAAAAAGTGACCTGTCCAAGTATTGTTGTTCCTACTAATTACATTTAAAACATGTTATTTGCAGTTTGTTCCAGCATCTGTGTCTTTGCAAAGATTGGCATGACACCAATGTCCTGTATGGCTGTTTCAACTGACACAGTAAATAATATAAAAATTGAGACAAGACCCAAAGTAAAGATCTCAGGACAACAATGCTACACTTTGTGATGTCATTTCTCCTGTCCAAATCAATGCAAGCACATAGTAGTCGGCAAAAAACATGGCTTGCCTTATTCCCCCAAAAAACCACATGGCTAAAAGGATTGACAATTGGCTGTTTCAACCAGAAGGCAGGACTTCCTTTGCTGTGGTGGTCATCCTAAGCATTACACTTGTCCCATTCATAGTAAAGCGAGTGAAGTGTCTTTGCATATTTATAGTGTTTGGTCATATTAAGCCTGCAGAGCACACTAGTCAATACGTTGTGCTGGATAAAGCGTAGGGACCCAAACAGATGAATTCTGACCAATGAGAGGACAGTTGTGCCCCCACATGATATTCATAAACACATTTTGGTGTACTTTAAAATGCTCAATAGTGAAACAAGAAAAGAACACTGTAACAGATTAAGAAAGAAGTAAACAATCTACAGGTCACAGAAAGGGACCAGACTCCAGTCATACAGGTAAGTCAGTTCAGACAAAATGTGTACTTTCAGCTTTGCACACTTGTACACATCATGAAGTTTCAGCTGCTTTTCCTGGAAACAGTCATTAAAGTGAGAAATTTGTTCCTTTACAGTTGTAGAGTGACAACTAAGAACAGTTTTGAGATGCGTTTTGTTTTGCTTTCTGTTTTCTTTTAGCTCAGAGATCTGGGCTTTGTGAATATAAATATTTTGGTGCAGTCTGTATTCTTTTGAGGTCTTCACGGTCTGTTGGTTTGAGGGTTTTTTTTCTCCACTGGCATGGTAGGGGTGACAACTGAAAGGCTTAAAAAACATAAGATTTATTGTTAAGTTTAAAATAATTAGTAACACATAAACATTAGCGCTTGCAGTGACAGATCATACCTTTCTATCATATTGTTGTTTTTCTGTAGTTCCCATGCCACAGCCTCCATCTCACTCTTTAATCTGGTCATTCTGAAAACAGTTTAAGTCGTTTATTAGTTGGAACTGATAAATGCTGCATCTCTTTCATTCCAATGACATACTTGAGAATCATGTGCTCTTCTTTTTTCTTTCCATCCACCACCTCGGCTTTAACTGGCTGCTGGACAGCTCGATGCACAACTCTTTCCAGAACCTGCAAAAGTGGAGAAGAGTGTGGTCATGGATAAGATTCAACTGCACCTAAGTTATTCATACACACCAACACTACCCAATGTATACTTTATCTGAGAATTTATCCTTGTCCAGTGTCTGCTTTTCTATAATAATTCCACTTTAAATGAGAAGTGATGGTAGTACCACAGTTTAGAACATTTTCTAAATGTATAATGAATGTGGGAAAGCTACAAAACATAGCTGTAGTCCAGTGTGTGTGTATCTGTGTTTATGCTAGCTGAATAGCAGTGAAGAATCGTGAAGCGATGACCTTCCTAGCCAATCACAGTCATATCTGTTTAGTACGTCAACACAATGGTCAATCAGCGGCGTTTAAGTATGTGCTCAACAATTCTCAAATGTTAGCAGTATATGGACATTTTAAAAATTTCAGTATCGATGGGTAACGAGGCTGATACTTTTGAAAACCCAGCATCACCAAACTGATTTTCTCTAATCAAAAAGTCACAGTTTGTACACAATACATTTTACTATAATTAGATCAATTTGACAGCATGAGCCTGATGTCTTTATTTATTTATTTATTTGATACGGACACCACAATTACACTCTACAACCAAATGCATTTGTTTAAGTGCTTTAGCAGCCTTGCTATTTCTCAACACCTGTCCACAGGAGGCTTGACAAAATTAAAATAAAATAATTACATATACACAACATTTTAATTCTTTACATAAAATTACTGAAGGCAAAAGCAAAGGTGGCATGATCAAACAAACTAATAGGGGACTATTTTATTTTTGCTGTTTTGTTTTTAACCACTTTTTAAGAACACTATTAAAAACATTTATATTACTTTCTGATTTTAGGCTAACAGGTAACTCATTCCACAGTTTGGCTCTCTTAACAAAGAAAACAGATTGACCAACTGAGGTCTTACACTTTGCCACTAGACAGTCACCATTAGCAGTCGCTCGTGTGACTCAGTGAGAGATCTGATGCCTACTGATTAAATCTGAAAACAGCACTGGAACATGATTATTTAAACATTTAAAAAACAATTTAAGATAATTAAATTTATTAAACTATTGAAACTTAAAAAGTTTATTCATTCATTTTCTTGTCGGCTTAGTCCCTTTATTAATCCAGGGTCGCCACAGCGGAAAGAACCACCAACTTATCCAGCAAGTTTCTATGCAGCGGGTGCCCTTCCAGCCGCAACCCATCTCTGGGAAATAAAAGGTTTATGTTAACATAAAACATCCTAATGATTTCGTCGCATAAGCTTTAAGTCCATAATTTTAACTGCTTGTTTATATGTCGAGTCAACAGGCATCAATGTAGTTAAAGAAGCTTGTGATCACGATGTAATGCAATATGTCAAGTGAGAGAATATCATTGTTTGCATGTATAATTTTGCAGTTTGATATGTTTAAAAATCTTCTAATGAAATGAAAATGGTTTAGACTTGGCTTAACCCACTTGCTAATATTCTTAACATGACTATCAAATTTTAAATGAATGTCTTGAGTTATGCCAAGATGTTTAAATTCATTTACTTCTTTAATACCTTTTTTTTTTTAATCAGCACCTCAAATTTATCCCTTACAGGTCTATTTCTTATAGAGAAGCACTCAGAAACAGTTTTGCATGACATTTAACATTAAATGAGAGAGCTCAAGCCATCTTGAAATATGTTGCAAAGCCTGGGTCAGTTACTCACCTGCCCGGCAAGGTGTTTTATAATAAAGTAACAGTCCATAATGCAATTACAGTGAGTATGTGTACATG